GCCCGCGTGCCACTCCATCACGGGAGCAGATGGGACCCTTTCCTTGAAATCTTTGTGGTGGTTTTTTTAAAAAAATGCATTTGTAAAGAAGTCTTTTATTGCGAAGCCTCAGCTAATCCCCAAGTCAGCGTGTGCGAAGCCCCAGGCGCAGAGACGCGCAGACAGACGCCCGAGGGCCACAGGGGCCACAGGGGTGCTCCCAGGGGGCGCGGGGGCGGGCGAAGGCTCCATGCGGTGTGCCTTTCATGCAATGGGCAATATTCGTCCAGTGAACAGGCCTGACCAAGTAACTTCCGGGGCCGGGGAGGGAGGCGGGCACGGGGCCGCAGGCCTTGCGGGTGGTTTGGACGCGAGGGTCCGCCAGGGGCGCGAAACCTGGCGCTCGCCCCAGGACCCTGCGTGCGCCCTTGGCCCTGGACCGCATCGCTACGTGTGGCCGCTGGCTGCCTCTGCTGGGGAGTCAGAACATGCCTTTGGTCCATAGAGCTCTCCGTTGGGCAGCCGAGGCAGCCGATTGGCTCCTGGTGTCCGGACATCAGCTCTCAGCCAGCAGGTGAGGGGCGCAGAGGCTGCCCTGGGGAACTGGGGCGTGGTTCCCTCTCGCCAGACACCGGAGGCGCTGGGCACCGGAGCGGGGCGGGGGCAGAGGGCTCACACGGCACGGCCGGGGCCTGGCGGGACCGGGCCTGGGCCAGGGGTGCAGCCAGACCTGGCTCCTGGGAGCAGCGCGAGGCCCGAGGCAGGTGCCGCCAGGTGCCGCCAGGCCCCGCTTTGCCCTGCCTCCTGCTCACGGTGTCCCCGGGGCTGGGAAGTTTGTTTTTGTGGCACTGCTAAATGGTTTCCAATCAGCTCATTAAGCTGATTACTCAATCAAACGTTTCCCCTAAAAGAGTTTGTGTGAAGAAGGCAGGACCTCTAGGTCACGCTAGTTTATTGAAAGAAAAACCAAAATTATTTTCTGATCATGTTTTCGAGGCAAAATGAAGAAAAGGATAATGAGCTCCTTTGGCTAAATATCTAGATAATTGAGGCTTTTTTTTTAAAGTCATTTTTTCCTTCTGGAATTGTTTCGATAGTGACTCCACGGCTGTCCAGCCCCCGCACACCCGCCTGGCTTCCAGGCCCCTCCCCCCCGGCTCTTCGCTCACCCCTGGGTGCCACCACCCCGGAAGGGCCTTTCCCTTGAAAGCTGCCCCAGGAACCAGGTGTTGAGGCCACTTTGACCTTGTCTGTGGAGAACATTAACAAAGACGCTCGCAGCTTCGAGGCCTAGAAGGCTTTGGCTGGCTGAGGGGTTCTGGGGTGCAGACTTGGGCACAGCTCCCCTGGATCCTGGTCTGATTGCAGTTGTAGGTGGCCCAGTCTGGAACCAGATCCCGACCTGTGATCCAGGCGTGCCCCAGCCATGTGGGGCAGAGGGAGGCCGCAACAGGGCGGTCTAGGCGAGCAGGCCTGGGCAGGGTGGATGGGCATGGCGGGGCTGGCTTCTCCAGCCTTGGTTCACGGGAACTCCAGCGGGATGGTCTCCAGGGCTCAGGGCCACTTGCTGACGGGGCTGACAGGGAGGGCGATGAGCTGACTTCAATGGTCTCTCCTGACGCTGCTCACCCCCTCAGTCCCCACCTGTGTGGGGCACCACCCAAGGCCACACGGCTTCTCTTCCCAGGGCCTGTGAGCGTCCAGGTGCCTTCGGCCCCGAGCAGCAGCCCTGGTGGAGGTGGTGTGGATGTGGCTCCTGGCTGGGGCCTGGGGGCCGTCCCGGTGCTGTCGCTGTCGGTGGTGCAGCCTCACTGTGCGTGGTCCTGTGCCACGTTGTCTCCTGCGCAGCCACGGCCTGGCCAGGGGTCACGCCCCAGTGCTGATGGTGCCTCTGGGCCCAGAGCCCCGGGCTCCTCCCTGGAGCCCATCATGTTTGGCAAGTTGAGATATTTGTGTTGTCATCCCTGGGAGTAGAAGGCATTGGGACCAAGAGGGAGGTTGGGGGTCCAGGTACATGAACCCCCTTTTTCAATTCACAAGTGAGGTCCTGAGGCCCAGGGTAGGGGAGTTGCCAGGGTCACACCACAGATGGCAGGAATGTGAGCCACAGACTCTGGAACTTGACAGCTTGCTCCTGTGTTCTGGGGTTAGGTCTAGGGCTGGGGATGGGGCTGCAGCAGGGTCTGGGATTGGGACTAGGGCTGGGCCTGGGGTTAGGGCTGGGGCTGGGGCTAGGGTTAGCATGGTGGCCTCTCCATAGGGTCCTGGAGTCAGGTGGCAACAAGGTGACTTTGCAGAGATGGCCTTGGGTCAGCACCACCGCCCAGTCCTGCTTGGCTGCATGGCTTGTGGTTCTGAACCTCTGAGCTCCTGTCCCCTCTGAATTCGAGTGGGGGTGCTGAATCCCCCAGCAGGGCTGGCTGGGGTGTGGGTGGGCTCAACGGAGGTACACGCGCCTGCCTGTGGGTGAGGTCCAGTGCCCGCAGACGTGAAGCTGGATCTGCTGTCTGGAGGTTCTCCTGGTGGTGGGATGGGGGTAAGGGAAATAGCAAGTCGTTTACTTTCTGGTTTGTGTGGAAGGCCCTTCCCGAGGATGCTTCTCTGCTGCCCGTCCCCCAGCGGGCATGCGGCCCCATGGGTGTCGGCTGGCCAGCGCGAGGGCCTCTTCCCTCAAGCCCCTGGAGCAACCTACCCAGGACCCTGGGGTCAGGCCGCGGACAGCTCTGACGTCATCCTCAGGGCCCTTTCACGAGCACTGGCTTCCTTGGGCCCAGGTGGCCTGGTCGTGCCGCTTCTCCTCTGGGGAGGGGCTCAGGGACACTTCTGCTGCGCCCCTGCCCCTGCTCTGTGCCCCAGAGCATTTGCCCCTCTACACCGAGGGTGATCTGGGAAAGTGGCTCTTCTTCCAGAACCTCAGTCCGTGTCTGTGCAGTCACGAGCGGCGTCCATGCCCCAGGGAGCCCGTGCAGGTCTGGCAAGGGAGGGGCTTGCTGTTATGTCGCTAAGTCAGGTGGGATGCTGGCGTGGGACGTCATCCCCCCAGCTGACGCTTGTGCGCCCTTCCGTAGGGCCCCTGTGTACTTGTCGGTGTCACTGGCCAGGGCCCAAGTGCCCGCGTCCTGGGAGCCAGGCTGCCCTTCCCAAGGGGCGCCTGCGATGCTATACTTCGGTGACCCTGCATGACCACAGGGAGCTGGCAGCTGTGTCTGGGGCCTGGAGTGGCGAGCCAGGGGCCGAGGAGGCTCTGGACACATGCCCGCTCCAGAGCCTGCTTGGCCCTGGACAGGACTGAGCTCTCCTCTTGCCGAGGGCTGACAAGCCTCACCTGCAGCCCCGGTGTAGGGGGCCGTGGCCCCGAGAGGCTCTGCCCGTGATCCCTGGGCTCCTGGAAGCCTGGTGACGCCATCCCGGCTGCCTGATAGAAGGGGACAGGCAGCCTGGGCCCTCCCCCAGAGGCCCCGGATGCTGCAGGGACTGCAGGCGTCACCACCAAGGACCGGAGGTTCCCCAGGCCGTGTCCCCTTCCTGCCTCAACCCAGCCTGTTTCCACTTGGCAGTTGCTCCTGGAAATGCCGTTGCAGCTTCCTGCATTTGTTACAAACTTTTGCGCCTCCTCCAGGAAGCCCACCTTGCTTGAGTGGAAGAAAAGCTTTCAGGCAAGAAGGACCCTGAGTCTGGGGACCAACAGTGTCTGCTTCTAAGCCCTGACCCAGTTTGGTTTGGGTCAAGCCTCTGCACCTCACATCTGGACTCCTGTGGGGGTGTCGGGAGATGGTCCCTGGAGATCCCCAGCCCTGCCGGGAGGCCTCTATGGGAACAGCACCCAGCGACCCAGCAGCCAGCACGGGCTCTCTGAGCGCGCGAGTCCCGAGGCCGTCGCCGCGGAAGACGCGCTGGGCCGGGCTCGGCGCAGGGACACAACCCCGAGCGCTCTGGCTTCAGAAACGGCACAGACATGGAATGGGTCCACAGTGATTTAATTCTCGGTGATATTTTCATTTTATGCAAATACCAAAAGAAAAAAAATACCCTGGCTAATTGAAAGAAAAACAGGAACCAAAAATATTTAGTGTTTGATCAAGCAGAACCCCTTCCGCACATCTGCCGGGAGTCAGAACAAATGGAGGTGTTAAATAAAAGGCCCAGGTACCAAAGAGCAAAATTTAATGAAAGCCAGAACTGTTAAGTATGGACTGCTGTTGAGAAAAAGGTCAGTCTCTTTCAGAGTGTTCCCATTGCTCTATTTTTAAGAAAAGTGTAGTAAAAATACATAATACAAGTCAGCTTGTCTTCTCGCCCTGCTTCCCCGCCCCTCCCTCGCGGGCGCATCTTCCCCGGAGTCCGGGACCCTCGTTCTGGCGCAGCCAGTCTCTCCGCAGCGGGTGGCGTCACGCGAGCCCCCAGGCCGAGGGGTCTCACCAGGTCGCAGGGGGCTGCAAGCGTGTCATGGCAGACTCAGAACCTGGGTCCTGTCGGAGCCGCGGGGGGAGGCTGCGGGCCGAGGCCCCGGTGTGCGGGCAGAGTGGGGGGGCTGGAGCCGGCGGGAGCAGTGCGCGGTGCTCCCCGCGCCGCTGCACAGGCCGCACTGACACAGGAGCGACAGCACGAGTCACGGGGAGAGTCTGACTTGGGGGGACGGGTCTCTGCCGCGGCCGAGGCAGGAGAGCGGGAGGGACGTGGAGGGGGTGTCCCCCAGAGGACGCGCGTGTGCAGCAGCCAAGCCGCACTTGCTCGGAGCAGGGCTCCCGGCCTCCATCTGTCAGTGGCTGGTGGGGACCCCAGCAGTGGAGACAGGACTGAGGGGGTGAGGGGCCCAGCCAGAGGCTGGGGATAGGGGGCGCTCTGACGGGCACGCACCGGGCCACACCCCACGGCCCTGGGGCTGGGTCCAGGGCGCCCTCCGCCCGGACGCCCCTGCCCACGCCTGTCATGTCTCCAGTCTTTCCGGAGCTCAGCCTGGCCCAGGATCCGAGTCGGGGGCAGGGGCTGCAAGGTCCCCCCGAGTCATCCTCAGCCTCATCCTCCCCATCCTCCCCAGATCACTCCAACGGGGCTTTCACTTGGCAGTGAGACAGGCCTCGTGGCCGCAGGCTGACACAGACGGCACCGCGAGTCGGACGTCTCAGCCCAGCCCTGTGCCTCCACCACCCTCGGCTTCCCGGTTGGCGTCCCAACCCCAGGACGGGGCGCACCTCGGGAAGGTCTGCTGAGCGGGCTGTGGTGGCGCTCTCTCTTCCTAAACTCTCCCGTCTCCCCCCCGCTAGCCTGGGGGGGGGCAGCAGAGGCCCCGAGAGGCCCCTCCCGCTGGGACGCCTGGACGTGGGTGTTGAGGGTCCTGGCGAGAGCCGCCCGCACGTTGCTGCGCTCCGGCCGCCAGGTGGTCCTTGGGCTTTTGGCCCGGGACCTGCCTCTCGGAACAGGCACCAGATAAACCCTTGGTTCCGCCTGCGGTTCTGACCCGGGAAAGGAAACTTGCTCGAGCCTCGTGGCTGCCCCACCTTTGTCCGCCCCCCACCCTGGCCCCAGGGCTTCGCCTTCCGTGTGACTTCACAACTAAGCCGGCGCGCGGGGCCAAGCCAGGGGACAGACACCGCGTGGGCTCGGCTGAGAAGGCCGCCGTCTCCTGTGTCTTGCTTGAGTGGTGGGAGGACTCTGGAGTGTGCAACCTGGAAACTGGGGAGCGATGAGGAGGGAGCTGGGATGAGCAGCAGGAGGAGGGGGCCGGCGGACGTGGCTACCAGCAAGAAAAACACGCACGCACTAAGACACCGCGCAGCAGGAGCGGGGAGAGCGGCCCAGCAGCTCCGCCCTCGAGGGGCCCCGGCGGCAGCACGGGGCTCCTTAGCACCCCCTCTTAGCAAACAGAAAGGGCGAAGGGGCGTCAGAAAACGAAAAAGGGCAGCAAAAGGGTTTCGGTTCTGCAGGAAGGTCGCAGAGTCCTCCTCGCGGTCGCGGTGGGTGGTGTCGCGTTTCTTTTGTATTGTTTTTGGCACTGAAGGGTCTGGGGTGGGGGGAGCCCGAGTCTGCTCCCCGAGGGGCTCCGTCGGCTGCGGTTACAATCCCGTGGCTCCCAAGGGCACCCCCGAGCTGTGGCTCATGCAGGGGATGGATTGCATGGACTTGGGGAAATCGTGGCTGACCACGCGGCCGTTCTCGCCGCTCCCGCCGCCGCTGGCTCCCGCCCCGCTGTTTCGGGGCAGCGTGGACGTCCGTATGGCTTCGTTGATGGATTGCTGCGGGATCAAACAGAAACCCTTTTCAGGAGGACCGGGGGTTCTTCCCCGGGCCCTTGGCAGTGACTGGCGAGGAGCATGAGTCAGCAGGGACCTCAGACGCGACCCGGCACCCCCCCAGGCCCCCCAGCCCCCCCTTCCTGAGCCGCTAATCTGGACCCCAGGAGCTCGCGGGCGGCTCTGCCGGTCCCTCCTCTGGGTGTGTGCTCCCTGCTGGCCGGGCTGTCTGACCTGGGTGCTCTTCTGTGTTCTTAGCCTGTGGTGCCGAAAGGAGGACTGTTTGCTCCATCCTGAGGATGGTGATAAATGTGGCAACACGCAGCCATGGGCATGGGCCGAAGGAGACGTGGGTGTTTGCTCTGATTCTTAGTGAGCTGTGTGGCCCTGGGCCCCTCGCCTCACCTCTCCAGATCTGCCAGCACCCACGCTTGTAAGTCTGATTACCTGCAGTGATAGACTTCCGTTCTCCAGCACCGTGCCACTGCACGGAATCTGATTTGAGATGCGTTTAACAGTGTTAGGGGGGTGTGTGTTACAGCAGCCAGTAGGGGGGCGTTTGAGTGATGCAGTTGGCAGAGTGTGTTCGGGAAAGGGGCATGAGCCGACAGCGGGGCATGAGGTCAGAGGTCATGGCTGGTCCACGCTTCCCAGCCCGGGTGACCTGCTCCTCTGGTCACGGAAGGCCGATGGAACTATGCTGAGGCTCCCCGATCTGACTGGCTGTGTTAGGTGAACGTGCAAGACAGCAAGCGGGGCCAGAGCCATCCTGTTGGGCAGGAGGAAGCACCTCCTTGCAGGAAGAAACTTCCTGAGAGGGAATGCAAGCACACTGCCTCTAGCTTCCAGCAAGAAATGCTCCTGGGAGGCATGAGGTGGGCTTGGCTTCTTGGTGGGAATCAACATATAGGAGCGTTCTCAAGGACCCGGGAGGTTTCTTTCTCTAAGACCAGCCCCACGCAGCCTTCGAGGCTCATCCTCACCTCCTCCTGGAAGCCACCCCAGACTGCCCCGCCAGCTTGCCCTCACCCTGCTCCAGTCTACCCATGCAGCTGCTCCTCTGTGCACGCTTTGCCTGGAGGAGGGCTGAGTGGGGGCACAGCCCCATTCTCAGCTGCAGTACAGTCTTCCTGAATTTCTTTAAGGAAAGTCAGCCGCCCCAGAGCCTTGAACTCAAAATGCCTATGAACTTGCACTTTGCGTGTTGCTCTGGCTCAGCGGATGCGGAGTCGGCCGACCGCTGTGGCCAGAGAGGTGGAAGCAGGGCCTTGCCCCACCCGCGCTCTGCCAGGCGTGTCCTGCTGCTGGCGACGCGGACTAGGGTTTTCAACATTTTCTTTTTCAAATCTACAGTCAGACAGATCTGCCCCATCTGGTTGCCCACCCACACTGGTGGTGGCTCTCACCCCCCCCCCCCCGCAGGCCCCCATGGGGGGCATGGGTGTGGCTGGAGCCGGCCCGGGGAATCCTCTACGTCAAGGCCAAACAGGTGTCACCAGGATGCTCTGCAGGGCAAACCAGGCGTGGACACTTGTTCCCGCCGAGCAGACAGTGATGTCTTGATGTGCGGGAGGCTGGTGCCTGCGACATCACAGGGCCACTTAGAACGTGTCTCTCGCTATTTTTTATGATTTTTCCCTATCATGCATACCCTTTAATTAAGAAAGAGGGCTTCAAGCTCACCCAGATCATCGGGCACCTTGTTTCTCGGGGGGCTCGCCTGCCGTAATGTCCCCTCCAAGTCGCTGCTTCCCCTGGTGTAGCAGAGGCGGGGCCAGCACTGGGCCAGCAGGAGCTACGTGGCCCAGGGTGGCAGCCCCTCCACCAGTCCTGAGGCTGGTTTGCAAGGAGCGGGCGTCTGGGGGTCAGCGCCACATGCCCGTCGGGAGGGGGTGTCGCCGGCCTTCGAGCCTAGCCCTTGCTGTGAGGGAGGGTGTCAGTGCCTGCGGGGCTGCGCTGACTCCGAGGTGCTCTGGGGCTCTGGTCTGACCTGAAACGGCCTCCGTGGGAGCTCAGGGCTGCCCTGGCACTGGGGTGTGCGCCGGGCGGATGTGGGGCCCAGGCCGGAGCCACGGCCCATAGTGGGGGTCCAGGCATTGTAAAGCTTGTAGCTGGCTGCGCCCCCCGCCCCTCCGCGCTCCGAGCGGCCTTTCCTCACGCCGGAAGGCACGAGCAGACCCTCTAGGCCTGCGCCTTGGGCGGGCTGGGGAGTCCGCCTGCGTCACCCCAGAGACTCGCCAGGCCTGGAGCCCGCATGCAGGCCTGTGTCCATGCCTGTGCTGTGCTTTGTCCTTCTGCGAGGACACGCCGGGGAGCTGGCCAAGGTGGGAAGGAGGGTTTCCAGGTTCCCGGCCACCCGCCCTTCCTTTCCTTCATGGCTTTCTGCTCCAGTCTTGGAAGGAGGCCTTGACGTGGGCCCGTGGGGCAGGCGAGGGGCCGAGGGACTGGCCTGCGGGTAGGCTCATGGCGGGTGGCCTGGGCGGGGTGTTTAGGTATGGAGACCAGATTGCCTGAAGGCGAGGCAGACTGGGGTTGTCATGCCGGAGTCCAGACGCTGGCACCAAAGGCCCCACCCCTACCACTCCCGGGCACAGAACTGAATGCAGTTTCCAGCTGGAGATGCCTGGGCCGGCGATGTCTCCCCATGGGGCCCAGGGGGCATGAGGGCCAAGGCAGGGACGGGCAATGAAAGGGGGTGGCTGGGCCCACTGAGAGGGGCTTCGGGGCGCCTTCCTGGAGAGCAAACGCTGCCTGCCCCGTCAGAACCTGGTCGATCCCGGCTTTGCCCCCACCCCTGTCTCTTCCCGGAGCCCGGCCTCCCCGCCGGCTCAGGGTCCTGCTGTCTGCACAGCGCGGGCGTCGCGGGCCACACCTCGCGCATGCGCTGCTTGCAGCATGACTGTTGCTGCTCGAGTCTTCTCCTGCGGAAGGTCAGTGACGAATGCGGGGCCATGGCGGCTGCTTCAGCCACCTTGGACACTGGGGTCTGCACCCTGCCAGCTGCCACCACGGGCCTCAGGGAAGGTGCTCAGTACCTGCCACACAGCCCACCCTGGCGTGGGGAGCCCTGTTCGCAAGCACATCTCCCTGGAGCGTGCACAGGGCCTGTTGGTGGCTCCTCAGTCACTTTGGAAGCCAGGAGCACTAGTCCCTTCCTCTCCACCAGCAGCCTTCCTGCTTCTGCAGACAGCGCCCGCGTCTTCCCCACCCCCTCTTCCCCAGCTGCCTTCGCTGGGTTTGCTGTCATGGGGTCCCCCATCTGGTTTGCTCACCCTGCTCTATGCACGCTCTTCTTTGCCAAAGTCACTTCTCGATGTGGTGACTGAGAAGAGACCCAGCCCTGAGTGCAGCAAGGTGGTCACAGAGCAGAGGGTCAAATCCCCTCCCCTCGCGTGGGAGCTATACCTCTGTTAAGTCAGTGGCAGAGAGAATCTGGCCTTGGGGCAGACGTTCCTGCCTCACTCTGTTCTGTCTGCTCAGCCCCAACCGTGACCTGGCCACGCGGCCTCTGGCGGAGCTGCAGGCCCTGGGGCCCATCCCCCTTCCTCCCAAGGTGCCCCCCCATCACTTTGTTCAGCCCCACCTGGGGCTGACCCCAGCTCCCCTCCCCCCCTCCTAGCCCCAGGACCCCCGGGGCCCGCCATGACAGCCTGGGAAGACGATGCCACCTTCATCCGCTTGGATTCGCTCCGGGATTTGTAGCAGAACTCGATTAAGGCGACCAGCATGGCCAGCCCGAGGCCTCCGATCAGGATGTAGAACACGCCGGCCACGTTGCTGAGGCTCAGTGCGCTGGTCTTGTCCTGGGAGGAGCAGGAGAGGAGGAGGAAGGACAGTGAGCGCGGGCCGGCAGGATGCACCTCACACCCCCATCGCCCACCCTCCTCCGTGCAGCCCTCAGGGGGCTTCCTAATCAGAGCCAGCACGATGGATGCTCCCCATGGAAGAATGTGCGTGTGTGTGCGTGTGTGCGGGCGTGGGCTGGCACGTCCCTAGGCCCCGGTCTGCTCGTTTCTAATGCATGCGCCCCTCCCCAGCGCCTGGGCCAGCGCGGAGACGCCACCATCGGTCCAGCGCTCCTGGGCCCTGTCCCTGCTCTCCCAGGCGGTCCCTGCCTCCCGCCCTCCAGCCCAGCTCTGCCCGCCCCCACCCGGTTGCTCAGCAACCTTGGCCTGGCTTGTTATTGTTCCTGTCCCTGAGCCTTTTCTCCCCAGGGCTGCTGCTCAGCGTGCACCTCCCTGGATGTGCACTCGGTGTCCGTGTAACGAGGCTGGTCCTGCACGTGTAATGAGACCAGCCGCTGGACACCTCTGACTCGCTGCTGAGTCTCAGTTTAGGGAAGAGAAAGGTGGGGCTTGAGCTAGTAAGTGGCACCGAGACAGAAAAATGACTCTATTAAGTCCTAATAATTATGCTTAATCGGTGTCGTTTTTCTGGTGGGGAGCCGGGAGGCGACGCTGTGTGCTCGGGCTGCGTTCCGACAGCGCAGTCGTCTGCCCTGTGAAGGGTCTCGTGGGGCTGGGGGAGCAGGGTGCTTATTCCCTGGGGCAAGTGGCCGCGCTGGGGAGCAGGAGGACAGCGCCCTCCTGGGGGCCTGGGGCTGGGCGAGCGCGCCCGAGTTCTGTCACCTTGGGGGACCTGCAGACCACGTCTCCCCAGGGGCTGGAAACAGACCCACAAAACGGGGGGCAGGGCTCCCCACACAGGGTAGAGAGTGGCTTTGGGCCCTGAAAGAGGCCTTTGTCGGGGTGTTGTGGCCGCACCCCTGTTGTGTGCTGTTGACTGGGGCGCAGCAGGCTGCTCTGAGGCCAGGTTCGCTGGCCCCTCCCGCCCGGCTGCTCGGGGTGCCTGGGCTGTTCACACCTCGCCGTGGGCTCTTTTTCAGGCCGGGACGTGGGTGTGTGCGGAGGGGTGGCCTGTCCCCCCAGGGTTCGGCCCTTGTTCTCCGGGGTGCATTGTACAGGAGTCGGAGGGCTGGGCTGGGGCTGCAGCTGGCAGCAAGCAGCACGCCTCTCCCCCGGCGGCCTGGGCCGGCAGAGCTGGGGGATTATCGAAAACACCCCCCTCCGCGGCTTCCTGTCTCACTCAAGCAGATGGCTCTTGAACACGGGTTACGCTTGGCGAGGATGTTCTGGCTGGGAACGGCGGCAATGCTTTCCCAAAGGGGTAGAATTTTTCCTGTTCTGGTACAAAGGCCTGATGAAGGACGTATTCAAAAATGAGCTTGGTGCCTGGCCTGAGAGCTGGCTGAGCAAGGAGGGAGCTGCTTGGCCGAGACGGGCCTGTTTCCAGGGGCCTGGCGCGCTGGGTGGCCCCGGGGGCTTGGACGAGGACGAGGCGCTGTGGGGCCCTTGGTTGGGGCGGCGTGGCCACGCGCTGTCGCGCAGCTGGAAGTGTTTGACAGAGATGCTTGTGGGGGGGGGTGGGGGGGCGGGTGGCCGCTGGCTTCTCACGCCGCCAGCCTGCCGGTAGCCACAGGGCGGCCTCCTCGGTCACCCAGGCCGCTCTGCTTCCTTGCTGTGGGCCAAGTCCGCCTCGGGGATGAGGCAGGGCAAGATCTGAGGGGTGTCTGCCCCCAGTCTCCTGGGAGGAGGCAGGCCCAGACCCCATGAGCAAACCGGAGAGGGGCCTGTCTCTGAGAGCCCAGGAGGAGAGGCTGTGGCAGAGCCCCGGGTTCTCTCTGGGGCTAGGCAGTGTCCCCTGGTTCTGAAGGGCTTCCTGGCCCATGGAGACGTCGGAGTGCGTGTGGGGCGTACCCAGCCAGAGGGTGCCCGTGGCGTGGGGCGGCCACCTCGAGGAGACACACATGCCAGGCCCTCACAGCGGCACTGCTGGGTGGGGGCCGGGGCCGGGGGCTCCTCACACCAGCGTCGGCAGACCAGGCCCAGCACTCCGTGGGCACCGGCCTGGCTGCGGCGTGTTGCTGCTTCTGGCCGCACGGCCGAGGAGCTCATGTGGAGACGGCTCATGACTTCCCTCGCTGCCCTCAGCTCTGCCATGGCCCACACTCAGGTCTCTTCAGGCCAAGCTGCCTTGCGGACCCACTCGGTTCCGGTGTGGCGGGTGTGGGGGGGTGTCCCAGGGCAGGGAAGACATCCTTTCACCCCGTGAGCACCCTTGGGGGCCGCTGTGGCCTGGGATGTGGGCTGTATCCAGGCAGCTCTGTCCACGGGTCATGGTCAAGCCCTTGCCCGGCCAGGCCCAGGCAGGGGCGGTGGCGTTGGCCCCCCTCGCCCCGAGGCCGTGCCCAGCCCGCAGCCTGCTGGCGGGAGGGATGCAGTCACAGCTTGT